CGAACGCGTGCAAAAGTTGTCGAATCGGTAGATACTTTGGCAGCGTTTAGGTGGGGTTGGGAGCTGCAGAAAAGTGACTAAGAGAGGAAGAAACCTGCCCCGCGTCGCGCCTTGGCGGCTTGGTCCGCGCTCGCGCTAATCGAATAGGCAGGCACGCAGGCGAGTGCACTCACTTATCTGATAGTCGCCATCCCGTCGTCCAGAGGAAGCCGCTGCTCTTTCAGGCGCACATACTGGTGCTACTCAAGATTTGAATGCATCGCCGCACCTAGGCAAATCAATACACATGTTCAGGGCCGACCTTAGTAAAAGATGATCTTTTGCAAGCACTAATAGCACTCCGACATGTCCTTTATCTCTCCCTTCGGTACATCAGCATCAAAACCTGGCCATGGATCCATAATCCTCGAAATTCTTCCTCCAGATACGCCTGTCCTTCGAACCGTGTCATATCAATACCCACTCAAGCTAGTCGCCCCAGATCCCCTAGCACCACCCAATTATGGCAGAGAAGCAGAGGACGCCACAGCAGCAGTCACCCCCTGTCTCATTCATACAGTGTTTCTGTTGACCTATGGTGGAGGCATCGTAGCTGGAGACAGCATAGACCTGGAAGTCAGACTAGACAGCAGTACACGGCTGATACTGTTGACGCAAGGGTCGACCAAGATCTTCAAGACCCCTACTCCAGAACTAGTCTCACGACAACATATGAACATACATCTCAAGAACAATTCCGCCTTAGTCTATCTCCCCGATCCCGTGCAGCCTTTTGCCAACACAGCCTTTTCTCAGTCCCAGATCTATCACTTGGAGAAAGAGCAAGGTAATCTGTGTGTTTGCGACTGGGTCACGAGCGGCCGTTCGGCACGGGGAGAGAATTGGGACATTTACGAATACAAGAGTCGCAACGAGGTCTGGACCGTAGACAATGCCGGCAAAAGGAGACTGCTTCTACGAGACAACCTCATTCTAGACAAGCATGGGAAGACAGGGCTGCTACTCTCATCACGTATGGACAGCTATTCTGTCTTCGGCACCTTGATCGTTCGTGGCCCCATCTTTTCGTCACTGTCAAAGTTCTTCTTGGACGAGTTCGAGGCACTACCGCGCATTGGTGGGAGGAACTGGGGCGACGCGGTGCAGCCAGAGCTTCAAGCGCATGAGCAGAGGCGGTATGAGAGGCAGCAGAGAGAAAAGGCCGACGGGCTGATATGGAGTGCCGCGAACGTGAGAGGCTTTGTCCTGGTCAAGTTCGCCAGCAGGGAAGTTGAAGGCTCGAGGAATTGGTTGAGAGACATGATCAAGGAGGAAGGGACGCTGTTGGATGCATTCGGGGAAAGGGCAATTTTGTGTTTGAAGTGAATCTAGAATTTGAAGATACCCGAGACCACGTAGATGAATGGAAAAGCAGAACTGGTTGGATGTCGTGTCTCGATGTTGTTCGTCGAGCGACTCGCAGCCCCACGCGGCGTGTTGAAGGCCCAAGCACCCGGCGTCCCAAAAGTCGATGGGTGACGTGCATAGCCGCACCTGAACGCTCGTCCAGCCGCGCACCCACGTCCCCTACCTGACCCTATGCCCTACCACCGACCTGTCGTGGTCTCTTTGTCGTCAATATGAGCGGCAGGCTCGTCGCGGGCCGCCTTTCCACCATCGCACGCCGCTCACCGCTGCTCACTCCGCGCTTCTACACGACGCACTCGCTGCCCGCCGGTGGCCTCCTCCGCAACCAAGCCGGCCTACGCCTGGTGAAGCGACGACCATGGCCGCTGGGTAGTTACTCGCTGCACAACATCCCCGCCACACGCTCCATCTCCTTTGCGCGCGTCATACCGAAGCTGGTTGGCAAGTTTGCGACTGTAGGCGCCGCTGCCGGAGGGGCTGTCGTTGCAGGCGTCTCATATATTCAGTACCAAGCTGGCCGTATGTACATACACGCTAACACATTGACTGGCTCTAACTCAAACAGAGGCGGGAACATTCGCACTCGATCTCTTCCACCGAACCAAAGACGGCGCGACCGAATTTGCGGGCGGCGCACTCAGCACGGCAAATGGCTTCTTCGACCAGCTAGAAAAGGGCTTCAAGTCGACCAAGGACGAATTCGAGGGCGTGCAATACCCAGAATGGCTACAGCGCCTACTCGCCAAGGACGAATCTGGTGGTGGTGGCAGTAACGGTGGCGGCAGGGGCCCCGAAGAACCCAAGCAGAGCGGTGCTGGATCTGCTGCTGCCGGTGCATCAACAGCGGCGGCATTCGGATATGCCCAGGAAGACGACGAAGACAGACCACAAGCGGAGAAGATCGCACGAGACGAGCAGATGATGATGCTCACCAAGAAGATGATTGAGATACGCGGGCTTCTGCAGACTGTTGGACAGTCCGATTCGCTCACGTTGCCCTCTATCGTTGTCATCGGATCGCAATCGTCCGGAAAGAGTTCGGTCTTGGAAGCCATCGTAGGCCATGAGTTCCTGCCCAAAGGACACAACATGGTTACGCGACGACCCATTGAGCTCACACTCGTCAACACACCAGATGCGCACGCAGAGTACTGCGAATTCCCTGCTCTCGGCTTGGGAAAGGTCACAGATTTCAGCCAGGTGCAGAAGACGTTGACAGACCTGAACCTGGCTGTACCAGCGAGCGACTGCGTCTCCGATGACCCTATCCAACTGCGCATCTACTCGCCAAATGTCCCCGATCTCTCCCTGATAGACCTGCCCGGCTACATCCAGGTCGTTGGCCGAGACCAGCCCCCGCAGCTGAAGGAAAAGATCTCGCAGCTTTGCGAGAAATACATCAAGGCACCCAATGTCATCCTCGCCATCTCCGCCGCCGACGTGGATCTGGCCAACAGCACCGCGCTGCGAGCGTCCCGACGTATGGACCCTCGAGGTGAGAGGACTATTGGTGTCATTACAAAGATGGACCTTGTGGATGCTGAACGCGGTGCCAGCCTTCTCAGCGATCAGAAGTATGCTCTGCGCCTGGGATACGTCGGTGTCGTGTGTCGGGTACCACCTGGTGCTGGTGGCTCTAAGCTCTTCAGCCGTGGCAACGGCAACATCACCAATGCGATTACAAAGAACGAAAAAGCGTACTTCTCTTCGCATCCCGAGTTTTCAGAAGGATCAGAGCTCGCCGTCGGAACCCAGAACCTTAAGAAGAAGCTCATGCATGTGCTCGAGCAGACAATGGCCGGCAGCCTTAAGACAACAAGTGAGGCTATCCAAAGGGAGCTCGAGGACGCTCGATACGAATACAAGGTTCAATACAACGAGCGACCTATCAGTGCAGAGTCATACCTTGCGGAATCATTAGATGGTTTCAAGCACTCCTTCCGTGGCTTTACTGAGCAATTCGGTCGCCAACAGGTCCGTGACTTACTCAAGCACGAGCTTGACCAGCAGGTACTCAATCTGCTTGCACAGCGCTACTGGAACAGGCCTTTCGACGACCTTAGCGTTCCGTTCCCCGAGACCGACCCTCTCACGAACCTTGCCAAAGCTGATATCGATGGCGAAGATCAAATATGGCAGATCAAGCTCGACAGCTCCAGTGCTGCACTTACAAAATTGGGTGTCGGACGTCTAGCTACCAACGTCGTCGCAAGTGCGCTTCAAGCACACATCGACCGCCTCATCACCAATTCTCGCTTCGCAGCCCACCCCTTCGCCCGACAAGCCATTACCGACGCTTCCACCTCCATCCTCAAAGACCTTTCCTACGACATCTCCGACGAGTTGGAGATCTGCATCAAGCCCTACAAATACCGCATCGAAGTCGAGGACAACGAATGGGCAAAGGGTCGGGAAAATGTCACAGCTGTGCTCAAGGACGAGCTGAAGGTCGTCGAGGCTGCCGTAAAGCAGCTTGAAGAACAAGTTGGTGGCCGCAAGCGAGTCAGGGACGTAATGTCGTTCATTGACCGCGTACGAAGCGGACAAGTTGTTCTTGAAGGTGACGGAGTTGGCGGTGCCGGCGGCTTCAGCTCTGCACTCCTTGCTAAGGGTAAGTCCAATTCTCTTATGCAGATCTTGCTCACCCGAATTCAACACTAACAATGCTGTAGGCCGGGAAGCTGTCTTCCTCCGCGACCGTATCGACGTGCTCAAACTACGCCTCCTCGCCATCAAGAGCAAGCAATGCGCCAGCAAGAAGAACAAATACCACTGCCCAGAAGTCTTCCTCGACGCCGTCGCAGACAAGCTCACGACGACTGCCGATCTGTTCCTTGACGCTGAGCTGCTAAGCAAATTCTACTACATTGTAAGCCATTGCCCCTCTCCTTACCCACACAACTTCCGCTAACACCCTCTAGTTCCCACGTGAACTCGACGCCCGTCTCGGCCGCGGTCTCTCCCAAGAAGAAATCGACCGCTTCGCCAAGGAAGACCCCAAGATCAAACGCCACCTCGATGTCGTGCGTCGTAAGGACCTTCTCGAACACGTACTCAAGGAGATGGAGGGTCTGCGCCAACTCGAACAAAGAGAGAAGCGCATGATGGGCCGCCGGGACGATAGGGATGAGCGAAGGAAGAAGGGTTGGAGTATGTTCTAGATGTAGGAATGACTGGATGACGACGGCCTTCGTGTTGGGTATAGACTGTATGGCGCTGTTGGCGTTTCGTGAAGCGGAAAAGAAGCTTCTTTGTTGATGTTGATGACGATGACTTCGCTACTCCCTTATTGGTCTTATTGGATTGAGATTATGTATATATGACTTTCTGATCACACTGTTCCCGTTCATCCAGGTCGATACGCTGATGACGAACGGTCGCCGTGAAATAACGTGCTGCATGACGATGACAACTTGGGGATATGAGAAAGATGGTTGATTGTAATCTCATCTATCGGGTATCTTCAACTAATGCCACCTAGAACTGTAATGCTAGGTCCCCCACAAGTACAAACTCCATTAGAACGCCATACATGCCACGTAAAATCGTATCTTCATCTCTCCTCCACTCTTCTTAAGGGTCAGTGGTCTCAATCAACCGATCAAACCCCAGTGTCTCTTAACCCCCCAATCCAACCTTGTCATACCCTGCAGATCATCGCCATTCAAATACCCCACATCCTCCTCAACCAGCATCTTCCACACCCTGTTCCTCAGTCCAATGGGAAACTTAGGCGCACTCCAGTAGCGCGACTTCAGTCCCCTTTCCTTCGCACTTTGGATCTGAGCGCGGATCTTAAGGCGTTGAGCTTCGGTGATGCGACCGAACCAAAGTGTGCCGATTGAGTGGCCAAAGTTGACGGATGCGTAGTATGAGTTTGTGCTGTCGAAGTGGGACGAGGGTGTTGTGCCGACTGTGCCTTGGCCGCCGCGAGTGGTGACTGAGCCTTCATCGAGCTTGTCCAAGGGAGCGTCGAAGAAGATGTCGCGGTAGGTTGAGTTTGCGGTGATGAGGTCGAAGGGGGCGTTGCCGGTTGCGACGACAGTGATGGCGCCCTCGATGGTGGTGTTGCCGTTGAAGTAGGTGAGGTAGCCCTTTTCGCGGAGTGCGTTGAGTTGTTGCGATACGACGGGGAAGATGTCGTGGCCGTTGTTCTTGAAGTCGACTAGTAGGACCAAAGTCTGCGCAGGCTCGGTGTCAAAGATGCCGTTCTTGACATTGGATGAAGTGGAGAAGTCTCCGAGTTCGTTCTTATGGTCTAGCATCTTGACCAATGGGTCAACGTACATGGACGTAAAGGTGCCATCTTGCGTCAGGGCGTTGGTGCTGTGACCAACGTACAGCTCCTCATCGAAGAGCCAAACATCTGCTTCGACGCCTGTGCAACCCCAGCGCAGGGCGTCGTACAACGGTACTCGGCGCCAGTAGTCGTTGTGCGAGTGGCAAGGGACCGGAGTTACGTCGCGTGTTATATCTAAGAGCTGCGCCTTGTCTAACACACTCGAGTCGAACGACGAGACTACATAATCATCCAGAAAGGTAGGCACGTAGCCGAGAAATACGTTGACGATGTGAAGAACACCACTAATAGAGTCAGTATACTTATTCTTCTTTCTCCAAATCATCACAGGATGACAGCTGCATGTAGGGCAGGGGACTGTCGAATGAGAGGGTTGCCGCCGGAAGGCGCGGAAGCTAAGGTCTGACAGGCACTTACAAGAAGATGAATACCAGCAGCGGTATTATAACACAGGCTTTAGCTGCATATTTCCTCTTCACTCGATACTTCTTCGACTGCGTCTTTTCATCCGGTAGCCTCACACGTCCACAGTCCTCGTCGACCCGCAACTTTGCATTCCGTCTTCGAATGCTCATTCTTAGCCGGCGCCAGAACCCAGGTCGCGATACTATCTCCTCCTCGTCCGAAGCAAAGATGGAGCCGTTGCCATCTTCTAGCTCGCGCAAGGAAACATGAGGTGCTTTTGCATCGAAAGAAGATTCCGAGTCGGAAGAGATGCGTAGAAGAGGTTGGGTGGAGGGGGTTTCGGTAGCCATCTTCAGGCACGAGCCAATCGCAGGCAAGGATCTGGCACGACTAACTTGCTGGACCCTGAGAGGCGGGGCAAGCGACATGAATATGTGCAGCGCACCTGTTCAACGATGGAGGATGCGATGAAAGAATTGAGATGTTGAAGGTCGTCTTTGCTCGCCCGGGCGAGTTTGCACCTCAAAACCAAGGCGTTCGCTGGCTAAACACACCTTCCTCTTCGACAGTCGCTCTAAAACGCCACGAGCTTTGTACCGGTGATCCAGACTGGCTATTGTCCCGTCCTTGGGTTCGGAGGAGGCTAGACTGGCGCGATGCACCTCCGCGGTTCAGTGCAGGATCCAGAAAGTCGCGCAAAACGCAGGGTCCAGTTCCTTGCTAGAGCCTCTCAAGATTCTGGGTGTCGATGGATTGAAGGCGAAGGACTTGGAGTTGTCAAGAGTAATCTGGGTCGGAGGCTACTTATTGCGAGACAGAGTGCGATCGGCCAGCCCACCCGTGAAACGAATTCAACCCACGAAGATAAAGTGCGGGCTATCAGCATGCAAGCCCTCGAGACAGCCGCAGCGCCCAGCAGCGTTCGAGAACTGGGGCACGGCCTGGAGAGCGAGTTCGGGCACGCAACACGGCTGGCGATGGTGATTGGTTGCGAGTGAGAGGATGACCGACACTCAACGGCAGATGCTAACGACTCGGTCTGGTGAAAGTCGGAGCAGATGATCAGAAAGGTTGTGCTTTAGATGGGCACGTTGCTGAGCTTGCGCACTCAGTGGTTTATTTGAATGCGGCGGTGGACTGGTAGCGATAGACGACGCATCCACGTTGCACCTGCCCGGACGCGTAGTGGTGATGGCTTCGGTCCGAAACTGTCACAATGGGGCATCATTTTTGCCTTGATTGCGAAACAATGCATTTAGTCTCGATAGCGTCGTGTTCCCAGGATTGACGGGTTGCATGCTGCGTCTCTCGCTGAGCTAATTGAACACGGCCACACGACTGCCGTGATTGGTCCCAGCGTACGTTGTAGGTTTTCGGTCGTTCTGTTCTGGGCCTGCGCCACACTTGAAAGCTTCCAGATGAGGCGGTAAGCCGGAAGTTCTAAGCATCGCAAGCACCGCCTCGGCAGGCCGTGTGTATTGTCTCCATGTCTTGTAGCACCTCCGCAAGTGAAGATGGCGGGGTGAAGCCGAGCGACACGTGCGCGCAATGCCAAGACATCCGATCCCCACTTGCCCGATAATCCCTGTCGCGACTCCGTAACTTTTTGCGACAGCCATCGACTGATTACCGTCGGGACTCGGTATCGAATAGACAGCCAGCCAATACCCAATATGCCTCACAAACATAGACGCGTGGAGGAGGATGATACCCAGTACGTCATTTCGTATTTTCGCAAGCCTATTCACTTAGAGACCGTGATCTGACCCGTCGCCAACAGGTTCAACCTTCCGCCCAACGTCCACGCCGCTCCCCTCGCCGTCGGCAAGGCGCGCACCTTCAGCACAGCTACCAAAGGCAAAAAGCGCAAAGTAAACCAAGTCGAAGGTTATGGCGCAGACGACACCCCCAAGGCCTTCCAACGGCTCATGGCCTTCTCCAACGGAGGACCGAAGAAGCGCTCAGGGCTCGACGACGGCACGGTGAAAACCAAGAAGCAGAAGAAGCAAGCCGCAGCTGAGGCAGTGGAGAAGGATGATGCAAACAACAAGAGCGAAGAGCAGGTGCAACCGACTACTGCGCTGAAGATACAACCTGGAGAGTCGATGCACGAATTCCGCGCGCGAGTTGACGCAGCGTTGCCCATGTCAGGCATCACCAAGTCCGGCAAAAAGGTCGCAGGTGTCAGCGATCACAGAGTCACCAAGCACGAGCGGCACCTCAAGCGTCTACAAAAGGGATGGAGGGAAGAAGAAGCGCGGATACGAGAGAAGGAGATGGAGGCGGCGGAACTGGCAGAAGAGGAGCAAGACGAGCTGGATGCCATGTGGGAGGACAAGACGGCTGATCTCGACACTACACGAACGGTCAACGGCAAGAAGAAGAAGGCGAAGAAGAGCAAACGCAGGAAGCTGGCGGGCGAGGTGGACAATGGCAGCGAAGACGAGTGGGAAGCTCTCAAGAAGAAGAGAGAGGAACGGAAGGGCTTGCACGACATCGTTCATGCGCCGCCAACGTTCGACAAGGTACCGAGAGAGATCTTCAAGGTCAAGAATGGTGCAGGCGCCAAAGTCGGAAATGTCCCCAAACTGGCTGGTAGCTTGAGGAAAAGGGAGGAGTTGGGCGAGGAGCGTCAGAAGATGATTGACAAGTATCGTGAGATGATGGCTGCCAAGAGAGGGACGCAGGAATAATGTGTTGGTTTTGGTCGATCATGAGATACCCCAAACATATATACATTGTGCTACACTGTGAATGTAGATTGCATGGTTCATTGAAGCATCGCAATCAGTTGTCATATTAAGCAGTAATGCGTCGCTTTTTTATGAGATCTGATAACAGCGATGTGGATGGATAGAAGTACACAAAGAAGACAGTCAGCTAATGTGCAGCTCTTCGTGGAAAACCCTATCGCATTTCAAATCCCTTCTACATGTCAATGGGCTTGGACGTCCCGCGAGGTGCGTCGCAATGAAGCAAGATCTGTGCTTGGAAGTGTATCTGCGATAGATTAGTAGATAGGATATAGGCCTCTAGAGTGTCCGAAGACTGTCCCTGCGGCATTTTGGGCGATGCTGGTGGGCGGCATGGTCCCGACAGCAAAGTAGAAGTCCAGCTTCCACTCCAGCAATACAGATAAACGTTGTCAATGGCACTTCTGTGAAAGCAAGACTTCACTGATACCACATCAGGCACGTACAGATATCCGTTGAAGACGACACTTCTCGAAAGCAAGAGCTCGCTGTTCCCGCATCGGGCATCTTTGGAAATCCATCGAAGACATCAAAATCCTGAGAGCAAGACATCGCTGTTCCCGCAATGGGAAGGTTTAGAGAACCTTGGCACTGTCGATCGCCGCTGGAATAAGAGGGCAGGCCTGTCACATAGCCTTGGCATGAAGGCGCATGGATACTGCCTCTTGGGGTAACTTTGGAAGTCCGTTGAAGACGGCATTTCTTGAAAGCAAAAGGTCGCTTTGCCAAGCATGGTCACGTGGCGGAGATTCCCGACTGGGTAGGTGGCGAAACGGTCGTGGATTGTGGCACTTTTGCAAAAGCAAAACATCGCGAAGCCAAGACGTTGAGGGTCGCTGAAAAGTGGGACGACATGTGACAGAAGGGTTTCACGCTACACGACCGACAGTAGCCCTGGAGAGCTTGATGCCTGGTTTTGAGGTTAGGACGGATTTTGTGGAAGCTCATGTCATTGAAGGAGAGAGTGTTTCAATTCTATTCGAGATACAAAGTAATCAAAGTGCGCCTCTAAACATTCCCTGTGTGATATCTTATCACCAACGCTTCTGAGTTCTGCTTCCGGGCTTCACCAATTCCACATTCTTGAAAGGCCGACGCCCGACCTTCAACAAAGCTTGTTCTTGGTGGGGTGCGTGCAGTATATCAACATCCACCATAATGATCTACGACGGTAATTCCAAGGTGACAGTTGTGGTTGAGATGCAAGTACATCCATCCGAAGCAGCAGTGCCGACTTTGAAAGCTTCCGTGAACGCCACAGGGTGATGTGATGAGGGCGCCGCGATGAAGCGATCCATGGGGTGCATATCTTGAAGTGCATCAGGCACGACTTTGAGCAGCAGTATTGAGTGATGGTACGGGCATGATGGTGCAGAAGGGCGGCCCAGTGTTGTTTGTGCTAAGTACTTTAGTATATGTGCGTGCCCGGCTGCTGGGAGCGAACATACCATTATTGGGCGAGATCGCAACTGGGCCCGACCTACTAGACTTGGCCAAGCGCCGTGGAGCCCGACTCATGGTTTGTGATGTGTATTGTGATGATGTATCGGCTTAGTCAATACTCCGAATGCGTTTTGTTGACAAGGTACGATTATAGTCAGGAGAACAATGAGTTGTATGCGACTGGGGCGTGTGTCATCTGAAGGGCGGAAGTGGCATTTGAACAGCGTCCGACGGAGCAGCTTTTGATATACATGCGAGCCAGCGAGGACGTGGGGTGGCAAAATGACCATCGGTAACACAGATGTGGGTTGAGAGGGAATGGATGCAAGCCCCAGTGAGCCTTGTAGGAAGGATGAACAAGCCACTGTTCAGACAGTGCCCCTTGGCCGCAGTAAAGATTGATAACGAAGGTCTCACGGCGAGCGGGTTGAGGAATGCTGGATATCGGAAGCCAGAGAGCCAGTGAGGGTCGAGTAAACGGGCGAAATGGCGTAAAACCATCAAGTGAGTAGTATGTTGCCGCGACGTCCTGTTGGCTACGTCGATAGACAGCTAGCCCTGAACGGCTTGGTTGGGTTGAGCGTCTGCTAGGTTTGGGATCGATGGGGCCACGGTCTGTGTGTTAGGGTATGGAAAGGCGGACATACCAGCGTTTTCCATTTCGGGGAATGGGACGTCACGTAGAGACCGTGCTAGCCAACCATGTTTCCAATTTTGGCATCACATCTATCCACGCTAAGGGTATGCACCTGCTACGGTAGTCGAGTAAGGCTCAATCGCTGGATCGTTCAGTCTCACTCTTCCTGCTTCCAAGATGGCGTGGCCTGGCTGACGAGCTTTCAGCGAGATGTCATGGTCTGCTTGGGCAGTGATGTTGAGGCACGGATGTGATATCAAGGCCCAGTTGTACGGTCAGGTACCAGCAGGATGGCTCATCCCGCGCGGGTCGTTGACGCGTGGGCGAGGAAGTAAGCCCCGTGTTCCGTCTCACATGTTAACCTCGAGCAATCACAGACCAGTATCCTCGGTCTTGGTCTTTGGAGGCGCATACTCTCAGCAGTTCTTGCAGTCGTAATCTTGCTACTGTCAGAGACAGATGAGAGTTTGGGTAAACTAGTCTCGCCTGTGACAAAACTGGCAACTCCAAATAGTGT